ATTTTATATAGCACTTTGTTCATTTACATCAAAGCCTCTCATTCTAACAACTACAAGTTGTTTTATGATAATCCTTTTAAAAGCACACTTTCAAATACACATTCCCCCCCCCCCAGTGATGGGATTCAAATAATTTAACAACCGGTTCTCTGCCCTAATGATTTCTTCCAACAACTAGTTTGCCAAACTGCTCAGACAGTTAACAACCGGTTTTCCTGAAGTGGTGCACCTGGTTGAACCCCACCACTGATCCCCCCCCTTTGTCAAACTGGAGGTGACCAACAAGCCAAGGCACAAACTACTAAATATTTACATTACAATGAAGCTACAATCATCTCTACAGATCAATTCTGTTCCCCAATCCCTCCCAAGCACTTGGAAACCATCTTCACTGCTGACTTTGGAGAGCTGAGAACAAGCAGGGACCATAATAAATCTGTTCAGTGCTCCTTTCAGTAAAAAAAAAACAAAACAGAAGAATGTCAAAACTAGGAGTAACAAAAATCTTGTGTGTCCTATTACACATAGGCAGGGGGAAAATGCCTCCCTGACATACTGTGTGCATTTTGCCTGATGATTTGGCCTAAAATTTGAGCTATGGCTCAAGAGGAAAGCTATCTTCCCATCAACTGTCATTCCTTCTGCATATAAAATTCTTTTGGAAAGCTTTGACGCCTATGGTGCTTTCCCCATCAGCTGCAGCCATCACGTATACATTGATGGAGGGTTAGGGAGAGTCACACTGACTTGTGCCTAGAAGCTGGGAGCAGGTCAGGCAAGAATCTGGAACTTTTGTGATTTGAAGTGTATTGGAGGCACGGTCAGCTACTGAAAAAGAAAGATGACATCTCATCCCACTACACCAGCTCAGATATAGTTCACCGACAAAAATAAATAAATAAATAAAATTCTCAGATTTATAGTTTGCCCATTTTTCTGAGCAGAAGTTGTCTTTATTCTGATTGAGGAAATAAAATTTGTATGAAAAACCTGAAAAATAAGTAGATTGACCCATGAGTATATAGGCAAGTCCTAGCTTGTTGCATTACACTTTGCGCCTTGAATAATCTTTGGTTCACCCTTCATCACTTCCTTCTCCAGTGGCAAATTTTCAGCAAATAGTAGTTTAACTGGTTTGAGTATTATGTGGGAATCACATAGAGGGCTTCTTATTAATTTTTGCTTTGTATATGAACATCGCTTCAATGAGCTAAAAATCCTAGCAGATTCCTGATGTACAGATATTTGCTCAATAATTTTTTTGGGGGGGGGACAGCAGGACTTGTTCTGTAGAAGAAAACTTCATGAACATCTAATATTTTTTAAATTTCAGTCCTCAAAGTGGACAGCTAGCCTCCAATCTCTCAGTTGTTCCTTTTGAAGACCACATGAGGCCAAAATTGAAAAGGTCCCGGGCTAAGAGGTTTAATTAGACTACCCTAACTTTTTCCTTTAATTCAATCCCTATTTTGCATCTTTTTTTAAAAAAATACAATAGTTCCATAGTCAATGTGCAATGGAGTGAGCTCCTGTTACTTGCCCCTGCTTCTGCCTACCTAGCAGTTTGAAAGCATGCAAATGCAAGTAGATAAATAAGTACCACTTCAGTGGGAAGGTAACAGTGTTCTGTGCACCTCGGCATATAGCCATGCTGGCCACATGACCACGAAAAATGTCTTAGCTAAGAAACAAAGATGAACACCCTGCCCTAGAGTTGGATACAATGGGGGAAATCTTACTGGTCTCATGATTACAGATAGTCCTCGATTCACAACAATTTGTTTAGTGACCATTTGAACTTACAACTGCCCTGAAAAAAGTGACCTATGACCATTTTTCATACATATGACTGTTGCCACATCCCCATGGTCAGGTGATAAAAATTTAGATGCTTGGCAACTGATTCATATTTATGATGGTTGCAGTGTGCCAGGGTCACGTGATTACTTTTTGCGATTTTTTCTGACAAGCAAAGTCATTGGGGAAGCCTGATTCACTAACAACAAACTTAACAATTGCAGTGATTCGCTTAACGACTGAATAACAGAATAGCAGAGTTGGAAGAGACTTTGGAGATCTTCTAGTCCAACTGTGGCAAGAAAGGTCATAAAATGGGGCAAGACTCAGTTAACCTTGCTTAGCAATAGAAATTTTGGGCTCAATTATGGTCGTAAGTCAAGGACTACCAGTGTAAGGGTGAAATGAAATTTGCTCCTGCTGACTGTATATTTGGGCATATGTATCTTTCTGTGGAAGAAAAGAGCAATGCAAAGTAAAAGCAAGTAATGGATGTATTCAAAGTCCTACCCTTTCTGTAAATAAACTTTTACAATGAGCTACAAGAAAGGCTACTATAGTAAGTATGTCAATTCTCAAGTGTTCCTGATATTGTTAGGGCCTACTGCCAGTTGTCTGCCAGTTTCCTCATTTGCCACTTTTTCAAGGATAGGATCCCCCAAACACCAAGATCCCACCAGCTCACTTCAAGAAGGCGTCAGAGGAAGCTTCCAAGTAGCCTCAATAAGACTAGAAGATGTGTTCCTCTCTGTCCCCACTCCTGTTCCTAATTGGAAAGCAGTGACTCTTCGGTCCTTTAAAAGAACTAAGCTTCTTAAAAATTAACCAGTAAGATTAACTATGTGAGATAACTGAGCACTGTTTGTTTTCTTTGGGGATTACTGGGTTTCCTTTTGGAGGGAAAAGTTCACTCTACAGTGTTATGCTATTCTCTGTACAAAGTTCTCTTAATGGGGAGAATGCTAGACGGCCCTTTCTCCGTCTAGATGGCCTAGACGGAGAAAGGGAAGATCCATTACCAAGGCAACAAAAACAGGTAAACATTGCTTAAGCCCAAAGAAGGAGATAATTTTACAAAAACAACTCAAGACAGACAGTCCTAATTCACACAAATATAAAAGAAGGGAGGAGGGAAAGACATACAGACTTGCTAAATTCTGTTACTGTAGCCGATCTTAATTAAAAAAATAATTTTAGGTCTATGTGGAGTCTGTTTTTTGGTCTGGTCTACCTCAAAGGGCTGATGTTTCAACAATATCTATACAAGTCTGTGAGATAAAAGTCAAGGGACAAATTATACTATGACAACCAAAGACTGTGCTGCACCCAAAAATCCAACGAATGAGTTGGGAGAATGTCATGTCCAGGCAAAATCAAAACTTTAAGCTCCATCTCTTACATCAGATCATCTTCTTCTGACATCTCCTCAGCGCACATGAACTTCTGTGAGAAAATCCAGCAGGCCAGCAACTGTTCAGGATATGCAATCATGTTTTCTGGTTGACAGGAAATAGCTATAATCCCTTGCAGAATAACAAAATTGGAAGGGAACTTGGAAGTCTTCTAGTCAACCCTTTGCTCAGACAGGGAACCCTATACCATTTCAGACAAATGGTTGTCCAGTCTCTTCTTGGAAACCTCCGGTGATGGAACTTCTGGAGGCAAGTTGTTCCACTGGTTAATTTTCTGTCAGGAAATTTCTTCTTAGTTCTAGGTTGTTTCTCTCCTTGATTAGTTTCCATCCATTGCTTTTTGTTCTGCCTTCAGGTGCTTTGGAAAATAGGTTGACCCCCTCTTCTTTATGGTGGTGTGAAAATATACTTTTCAACAGCCTTAGAATTCCACCTACCCACTCATACCATCTTACATGCATTACATGCAATATAGAACGTAAGAGTTTGATTTGCTCCAGCCACTGGGAGAGGCGGATGAGCAACAGGAAGAGAGGATGAGTTGTCAGAGGAAAGGGGTAAATACCAGAACTCTGGAGCCAGGCCAATTTGCCAGGCTGTGACTTGAGTACCCTAAGCAGGATTTAAAATGAAAAGCAAACACTTTACCACAGAACGTATTTTGCTGAATTATTAGAGTGCTGCAATCCTTTTTTAAATAACCTGTAGATCAGTGCTTGTACAGACACAATTCCCTGAGGACTATAACCGAGGTTTGGTACCACCTTTGCCGACCAGGACATTTTGTTAAACGGCGTAAGATTTTGAGAGCTGCAGCTCCTTATTACCTTTTAATAAAAAAGCATGAGTCAGAAAACCAGACCACAGCTCTCCTCCTACCATGTCAGGAAGAGAGAGAATTTACTTCTTCTTAATAAAAATAATAATTCTCTGGGGGAAGATGTAAATACTAGAAGATGACCGTTACGAAACAGTTGTAAAAAAGGAATTTATATTATGCATTTTGTGTTTGTTATATTGTGTTGTGTTATAAATAACTTTTTTTGAAAAAAAATAAAAATAAAAAATCTCTTACATGTTGTAACAGATCATGGAAGTGGTAAAATAGAAACAGACCCCTGTCTCTGCCTGCAATACAAATAATCTTCGGCATCTGAATAGCACTTCCACACGTGTTCAAAGTGCATTCTCCTTATAACAAACCTGCCAATCAAGTCGTGGTTATTGTTCCCCAAGTGACAGAGTGCGGAGCATGAAGCTGAGCCTATTAGCTACCTCGTGAGTTTATTGGCAGATTCAAACTGGTAACTGGGAACTTCCGGCTTCGTAGCTCAGTTTATTCATCCACATACACGTCAATATTCAAATCCAAGTTCAATGAACTTCCCTCATCTCACCAGTAGGGCTTTCAAGGTGATCTAGGAAAAGATCACCTTATCCTTATCTACAGCAGGATTTTCAGGAGGTTTATTTTGTCCTTTGCACCTCAGTCTCTGCCAAAGAAAGCTCCTCCAGCACTTTCATTCCCATTTCATTCTTATTGCTGTAGGAGGAGGCAGAAGGAAGCTTATGTGTTATTTCTTTTTCTTTTTTTTTTTTAAAAAAACCCTCTTCATTAAGGCTCGTCCTTGCTTGAGGCAATGAAGTGTTGATGGTTTGAGAGACGCTCCTCTAACATCAGTGAGTCATCTCCCTCCCGACTAATGTCAGAGAGGCCTTTGTGCTTCACAAGGATTGGCTGTGCCTGGCTCATAGGGGCTGTCTCATTGGAAAGGTGAATGTGCACAGAAGCAGCTGTGGAGGGGTGTGTACTCATGCATGTGTGCAGTTAGAGCGTCTGCAGCAGGCACAGACAGTTGGGCTTGGCCAGAGCGGAGGTGTTTTGCTTTGTTCAGAAAGCACTGAGAAGAAGACAGCAACAGGGGTTGGTTGTTTGTGAGAGGTTCCTCGGATTGCTTATCTGGGAAGAATCTGAGAAAAAGAGAGGAGGAGGAGGTGGGGGGGAAAGAGACTTTGAATTTTTCTTTCTTTTTCCTGAAGTGCAAATCAGCTTGGGACACCTGAGCCTGCTATGCCAACCGAACTCTCCCACATGGTGAGAATGCATGCCATCTCTGATTTCCCCTCCTCGCTGACAGCACGGCTTCTCCACAAGGGTCCAGAGTACCTTCGCAAGCAGATGGAGGCAGCCAACCCTAGCAGGAAGAGCGCCGTGGAAAGGTTGGCAGCAGATAAGGCCAAGTACGTGAAAAGCCAGCAAGTCATCAGCAGGAAGCAGGTGCCGGCCATCACCCTCAGCTCAACTTCTGAGAGTAGCAGCGAGACTTGCTCAGTAGAAAGCAAGAAGGCTGATCGCTCAAGAGAGGAGAAGGACACGGCAGCCCAAGTTCCCACAGCCACAGAGCTGAGTCCGGCAGCCCTGCAAGACGGCCCTCCCATTGTGAGGCGCAACAGTGGTAAAAGGCAGATCCGACCAGATTCCTTGGTGATCTATCGTCAGAAATGTGAATTTGTCAGAGGTCAAAGCCAGGAGAATACTCGTGGAAATTTGGTCCGGAGGCTGTTCCAGGGTTCCTTCAAGGAAAAACAGCTGATTTCTGAGGTGTCCAAAGTTGTTCTCAAGGAGGAAACCATTCCTGAAGTGGAAGGGACTATTGTGGGCAAAGACACAAGACATAGCTATGACCTAGAAGGACAGAATTCACCCACAAAGGCAAACCCAATGCCCTTTCTGGTCAGCAAATGCAAAAATGCCCTAAATGTGACTTCAGCACCTTATGATGTAAAGGAGATGAGGCAGAAAGGTCTTCAGAGATCTCAGTCAGATATCAGTTCGCGATATTCAAAATCCTTCTCTGAATTTGACACTTTCTTTAAGAACTGTGGTCTTGAACCTGAAGTAATAAAAGATTTAGGCCAAGAGAATATTTCAGTGGCTTCAGACAACTTCTCATTCCATCTCCACAGCCTCAGTGGGGCAGCTTCTGAAAGTGACTTCACGAGACACAGCGATGAAGATGGACTCCTGGAGGAAGAGCTCACAGAACAGGCGCCTAGTGGCACCTCTGTGGTTGAACGCAATGCTCGGATAATCAAGTGGCTGTACATGTGCAAGAAAGCCAAAGAGGCTAATGTGATGATGCAAGACTTGGCATAAGGACTGCTTCCTTCATAGAGACACCCAGGTCAGTGTAACATGAATGCATGTGCAAAGTGTATCCGTGCACCTTTGATATTACGTGCATAGCTATGAATATACAGAATAAGGTTCTTTCCTTTTTATCTCTCCAGCATCATGGAGTAAGGGATGGGGAAACCTACAATTTATCTTTACTATATAATAATATTTAATATATAAAGAATTATGGGCATAACATATGGTACCAGTGTTGATACTAATTCTTCCATTTGGGCCTTCCATAATTTTATAATGGTGAATGATTCCAGAAAGTTACAGCTGGTTGTTGTTGTTTTATGAAAGATTCCACCGTTTGAGCTGGCCTTTAGAAAGTCATGGACTTTGCTAAGGAGAAATGAGAACCACCAGAGAAATTTAAAGTCAATATTTACACACATTGGGTCTGCCCTCTGACTGGGAAACAGCTTATTTACAGCAGGTTGGGCCATGATAACAAAAAGCCTGGCCATTTGCTCAGGCGTTCATTTTATCTAATTAAGATAAACTGGCACACATTTTGTCCTTTGCAGCTGTCAACTTCGTCATCCCTCTACTTTCCTTTTTCTTATTTATCCCCTTTTAAATTATCGTGGGGGGAAAAACATTTGTGGGTCTCTCTTTTCCCCACTTTATTTCATTTGATATTAACAAGTGATAAGCCTTCCTCTGATGTCACAACACAACAGGTTTGGCAGCTATTTCCTGGCATTTCTTCTTTTTCCATTCTCTTGAGGAGTGAGTGGGACATCTCTTGCTGCTTCATTGCATTTATTGCTTTTCGCCTCAACTTGACTGAAGTTGGTTCACGACTGCACCGGTGCCAAAAAGGAGGGCTTAAATATTAGGGCTGCAAATTTTCTTCAGGGTTGTTGCTTCAGCTGGTGCCCCAATAAATCTAAAAGGACGGGTTCCCAGTCAAACAGGAAACGAACAGCATGATGTAGTGCAGTTTTGGGCAGTTTCCTAGGAAGTAGGATACAGTGCATCAATAGGATTTACTTTTCACCAAATACACTTAGCATTTGGACTTTGCAATGACTTTTTAAAAAGAGCACTTACAGAAAAGTGGTGTAGGAGTTAGAAGATCCATTTATAAACCTGGACCTTTGATATACTGTACTGATTTGGCAATTTCTCTGTCCTTCACTGAACTCTAAGCACTGACCTAGGATTTAGCAACTGGTACATCAAGGCAAAAAAAAATCAAGCGGTTTCAATGATCACAAATATCAGATAGAATCCCTTGGGCAATTGAAATAAATGGAAATTAAGAGGTTTACACTCCCTGAAGGAAGTGTGCTATTGTGCATGGGACACTTTGCATGGGTTGTGACTATCTTACTCTTTAACAGCTAGGGATGTGCTCGTGTTTTTCTAACGGGTGTTTAGTAAAAACACGGTGTGTTGACTGGCTGCCCCAAATGCAGTCATCGAATGTTGATACTTGCCACTTCAGCAGCGGTGTTTCTGGTTAAAGAAATTAAATAAGTTAGTTTACCAAATAAACTTACAAAGTAAGAGACATCAGTTAGCATCTTTTGACCATGAGAGACCAATCAGTTGATGTGCCCTTGAGCTAATTTAGCCATAACAATCTGTTCAGATGCTAGGCACATCATAAAATACAATACAAGCAAACATATATTTATGTAAAATAGTGAGATAAGTGTTTTGTACTTTATAAGCAACCAAGCCCTACCTAAATCTTTGGAAGAGCTACTGTCTTGGTCAGGATCACTCCGAGATAAAATGTTACTTGAAGCATGTCTCAGATGCCATTTCCTCTGGAAACTGACCAAGCAATGTTGGCATGAAGCAGAAATGCCTGGCAGAGAAGCAATAACTAAATAAATAATGAATAATTTGCTGCTCTGTTCAAGGATATTATCTCATTGCCTAATTATAAGGTGGCCATTGTCTAGAGCAGTGTTTCTCAACCTTGGTAGCTTGAAGTTGGGTGGACTTCAACTCCCAGAATCCCCCAGCCAGCGCTGCTGGCTGGGGGATTCTGGGAGTTGAAGTCCACCCATCTTCAAGCTACCAAGGTTGAGAAACACTGGTCTAGAGCCATCTTAGCCTGAGGTTCAGGCACTAAGGAATTTACATTTGGTTAAGATACGATAATGTTTGTTCATGAAGAAATGACCCCATAGCTTAACAGAAAAGTCCTGGCTGTATCACCTGGAGCGGTTTTGTTTAAAGAGAAAGAGAGATTTGATAGCATCTGAATAGAAAACCAAAATCTTAATTATTCAGCAGTACTTCATTCTTGGCAGAAGGAAAATAAGTGAAATTTGATTTCCTTGATTTTTTTTTAAAAGCATGACAACATAAATCTCTTTATTTTTCATCACAGGAAAATAGCAGAGTTGTTACTCCCACTTACATTTCAATTTTTGTCTCAGAAAAGAATAAGCCATACTAACTCCACATCTATGTATTTGATGATAGTCTCCTATCAGACAGTCTTATGAGCCCAATCTCCTAGACTGGCTATGCTTCAGCCAAAAAAAGTCCAAAACTGCTCACTAGTACCATCTGAACCAAGTTGTAGGTAATGCAAAACTTCTTATTGGCTAATCCCTAGATATTGATAAAGTTGATAGAACTATCTGGTTTAATCACTTACTACTGATAAAGAATAAAGATGGTGAGGAATGAGATCATGTTTAAATCCAAAATTCTAGCACAGGGACCAGTGGTGTTTTAGCCTGTGTGTAGCCATCTGAAGGTATCTGCCAGAACAAGTGTACCAATCACAAACAGAAATTAAAATCAAAACTAAAAAAAATGCACATGCATCTTTCGCATACTATATACACTGGAAAGGTTTTTTATACACTGTAGTGTTTTGCGGGGAACAACTTTGGAAAGAGTTCATGGCATACAGGGTGGAAAAACTCTAGATCAGTGTTTTTCAAACTTGGCAACTTTAAGATGTGTAGACTTTAACTCTCAGAACTCTTCAGCCAGCATGGAGTTGAAGACCACATATCTTAAAGTTTCAAGTTTGGTCTAGAACAAATAATACAAATCAAGTCTCATGTGTCAATTTGTAAGGAAACACCACTGAATTCAAGAAGATTGGCTTCCAAGTTCTTTTTCCTCATCTTTCCACTCAAACACACAGTTTCCAGAATGGTACTGTTGAGGAAAAGAATGTTTGTTAGATTTTTATTTTATTTACTTATAAATAACTCCAAGTAGCAAATATACTTAATACTCCTTTTACTTTCTATTTTCCCCAACAACAACAACCCTGAGGTGGGTTGGGCCAAGAGAGAGTAACTGGCTCAATATCACCCAGCTGGCTTCATGCCTGAGGCAAAATTAGAACTCACAGTCTCCTGGCTTCTAGGCCAGCACTTTAATCACTGCACCAGACTAGCTCAATTATATTAACAATTAATATAAACTGAGAATATATCCTGAACAGGGGACTCTTGACTGTCCTATGTTTGGAAAATCACATAATTTTTAGTTATTAGTTTTTATACTCTGTTCTGCCCTACCTAGGTTCAGCTGTGATTTGTTCAATAAACCATAGTCATCTCATATATTTATAAGCAATTATAGGTATCCTTAGGTTACAGTGGCAATTGGGACTGAAATTTCCATTGCTAAACAACATGGTCGTAAAGTGTGATATCACATGACCACATTGCTTCACACAGCAATGCCAGCAGTCTTGCTGATGTCATTAGGTGAGGACCTCACAGGTTCATGCAAAATTGGTGTACCTAGGCTTGTTTAAATGTACATGGGTTCCAGTTTGAGCCACAGCATGTCTCTAAATGGCCCTAAATTCTGAGTGTTCCTTACTTGGAAATCTGCAGGGCAGAGTTTAGAATTCACTAGGAAATAATAAGATGAAATAATACCATCTATAACAGAGGCCTGATTAATGGGTTTCTTTCTTTAACTTATCCCTGGAAATACATAAGTGAGTTAGGAGACTGAGTTGTGTGGGTAGCAACTTTTCTAAAACCCAGATCTGGTACATTGGGAAAAGAACACCAACCAACAGATGAGCGAAAGGAACACAGATAAATGAGCCAGTTCAGATAGTAGTTTCAGAATGAAATCTCCATCCCATCCTTTAAACTGACATTAGCGTTGAGGGAAGTCTAGCTGCAGCAAAATGGATCCCAGGAGAGAAGGCACTAAAGGAGATCAGTCATTCTAGAGGACCAAAAAAAGAAGATTAGGAGGAGGACTGATTTCACTGTTTTGACCTTGCAGTCTTGCTTAAATCCATTAGTGGAAGGCAGGTGTTCTGGTGCTTGGGGTGTTTGCTGACTAATCCAAAACAACATCAAAAGTCATCTAGGGAGTGTGATAAAGAAATGCGGCAGATCGAGGCATCGTTCCCACAATTTTTCTAATGAGGGAATTTTTAATTTGTCCCTATCTTCCTTTGCAGAGAGATAGATCAAAAACTGTTTCTCCAATGTGAAATCTTCCCCATCTATTAATACAGCAACTCCTTGAATTTTTTTGGCTGGCATAAACACATTGTAAAGGATGCCAGGTTGAAAACAATTGAATAAAACCTTGCTCGGTTTTGCCAAAAACATTGCAGTTTCTACATAGAGAGCCAGTTTGGTCTAGTGGTTAAGGCAACAGGCTAGAAAGTGTGAGTTCAAGTCTGCTTTAGCTATGAAAAGCCAGCTGGGTGATTTTGAACCAAGTCTCTCTCTCTCTCATTCTCTCTCCCCCTCACCCCCCCACCCACAGGATTGTTGTGGTAGGGAAAATAGGAGGAGGAAGATGCGTTGGATATATTCACTGACTTGGGTTGTTTGTAAAAATAATAAAGGTGGGATACAAATAAATAAAAATAAATAAATATAGCTTTATTCTGAGCTTTTCTAAAGTATTTGGAACGACAAAGCTTTCTTTACTAACCAGTGCTTGATTTTTCATATTCATATCTAATTGAGGGTATCAGCTTGGAAAGGATGTGGAGAAGAAAATATGGTGATGATTGAAGGGAATGGTTAAGAA